AGTCCAATCAGCTTCCATATGCAAAAGACCTTGAAGGTTCCATATGCAACTGACATTCCAACTGCCTTGCGGGGAGGGGGGTGAGTTTGAGGTGTGGAATGCAGTGAAGTCCAATCAGCTTCCATATGCAAAAGACCTTGAAGGTTCCATATGCAACTGACATTCCAACTGCCTTGCGGGGAGGGGGGTGAGTTTGAGGTGTGGAATGCAGTGAAGTCCAATCAGCTTCCATATGCAAAAGACCTTGAAGGTTCCATATGCAACTGACATTCCAACTGCCTTGCGGGGAGGGGGGTGAGTTTGAGGTGTGGAATGCAGTGAAGTCCAATCAGCTTCCATATGCAAAAGACCTTGAAGGTTCCATATGCAACTGACATTCCAACTGCCTTGCGGGGAGGGGGGTGAGTTTGAGGTGTGGAATGCAGTGAAGTCCAATCAGCTTCCATATGCAAAAGACCTTGAAGGTTCCATATGCAACTGACATTCCAACTGCCTTGCGGGGAGGGGGGTGAGTTTGAGGTGTGGAATGCAGTGAAGTCCAATCAGCTTCCATATGCAAAAGACCTTGAAGGTTCCATATGCAACTGACATTCCAACTGCCTTGCGGGGAGGGGGGTGAGTTTGAGGTGTGGAATGCAGTGAAGTCCAATCAGCTTCCATATGCAAAAGACCTTGAAGGTTCCATATGCAACTGACATTCCAACTGCCTTGCGGGGAGGGGGGTGAGTTTGAGGTGTGGAATGCAGTGAAGTCCAATCAGCTTCCATATGCAAAAGACCTTGAAGGTTCCATATGCAACTGACATTCCAACTGCCTTGCGGGGAGGGGGGTGAGTTTGAGGTGTGGAATGCAGTGAAGTCCAATCAGCTTCCATATGCAAAAGACCTTGAAGGTTCCATATGCAACTGACATTCCAACTGCCTTGCGGGGAGGGGGGTGAGTTTGAGGTGTGGAATGCAGTGAAGTCCAATCAGCTTCCATATGCAAAAGACCTTGAAGGTTCCATATGCAACTGACATTCCAACTGCCTTGCGGGGAGGGGGGTGAGTTTGAGGTGTGGAATGCAGTGAAGTCCAATCAGCTTCCATATGCAAAAGACCTTGAAGGTTCCATATGCAACTGACATTCCAACTGCCTTGCGGGGAGGGGGGTGAGTTTGAGGTGTGGAATGCAGTGAAGTCCAATCAGCTTCCATATGCAAAAGACCTTGAAGGTTCCATATGCAACTGACATTCCAACTGCCTTGCGGGGAGGGGGGTGAGTTTGAGGTGTGGAATGCAGTGAAGTCCAATCAGCTTCCATATGCAAAAGACCTTGAAGGTTCCATATGCAACTGACATTCCAACTGCCTTGCGGGGAGGGGGGTGAGTTTGAGGTGTGGAATGCAGTGAAGTCCAATCAGCTTCCATATGCAAAAGACCTTGAAGGTTCCATATGCAACTGACATTCCAACTGCCTTGCGGGGAGGGGGGTGAGTTTGAGGTGTGGAATGCAGTGAAGTCCAATCAGCTTCCATATGCAAAAGACCTTGAAGGTTCCATATGCAACTGACATTCCAACTGCCTTGCGGGGAGGGGGGTGAGTTTGAGGTGTGGAATGCAGTGAAGTCCAATCAGCTTCCATATGCAAAAGACCTTGAAGGTTCCATATGCAACTGACATTCCAACTGCCTTGCGGGGAGGGGGGTGAGTTTGAGGTGTGGAATGCAGTGAAGTCCAATCAGCTTCCATATGCAAAAGACCTTGAAGGTTCCATATGCAACTGACATTCCAACTGCCTTGCGGGGAGGGGGGTGAGTTTGAGGTGTGGAATGCAGTGAAGTCCAATCAGCTTCCATATGCAAAAGACCTTGAAGGTTCCATATGCAACTGACATTCCAACTGCCTTGCGGGGAGGGGGGTGAGTTTGAGGTGTGGAATGCAGTGAAGTCCAATCAGCTTCCATATGCAAAAGACCTTGAAGGTTCCATATGCAACTGACATTCCAACTGCCTTGCGGGGAGGGGGGTGAGTTTGAGGTGTGGAATGCAGTGAAGTCCAATCAGCTTCCATATGCAAAAGACCTTGAAGGTTCCATATGCAACTGACATTCCAACTGCCTTGCGGGGAGGGGGGTGAGTTTGAGGTGTGGAATGCAGTGAAGTCCAATCAGCTTCCATATGCAAAAGACCTTGAAGGTTCCATATGCAACTGACATTCCAACTGCCTTGCGGGGAGGGGGGTGAGTTTGAGGTGTGGAATGCAGTGAAGTCCAATCAGCTTCCATATGCAAAAGACCTTGAAGGTTCCATATGCAACTGACATTCCAACTGCCTTGCGGGGAGGGGGGTGAGTTTGAGGTGTGGAATGCAGTGAAGTCCAATCAGCTTCCATATGCAAAAGACCTTGAAGGTTCCATATGCAACTGACATTCCAACTGCCTTGCGGGGAGGGGGGTGAGTTTGAGGTGTGGAATGCAGTGAAGTCCAATCAGCTTCCATATGCAAAAGACCTTGAAGGTTCCATATGCAACTGACATTCCAACTGCCTTGCGGGGAGGGGGGTGAGTTTGAGGTGTGGAATGCAGTGAAGTCCAATCAGCTTCCATATGCAAAAGACCTTGAAGGTTCCATATGCAACTGACATTCCAACTGCCTTGCGGGGAGGGGGGTGAGTTTGAGGTGTGGAATGCAGTGAAGTCCAATCAGCTTCCATATGCAAAAGACCTTGAAGGTTCCATATGCAACTGACATTCCAACTGCCTTGCGGGGAGGGGGGTGAGTTTGAGGTGTGGAATGCAGTGAAGTCCAATCAGCTTCCATATGCAAAAGACCTTGAAGGTTCCATATGCAACTGACATTCCAACTGCCTTGCGGGGAGGGGGGTGAGTTTGAGGTGTGGAATGCAGTGAAGTCCAATCAGCTTCCATATGCAAAAGACCTTGAAGGTTCCATATGCAACTGACATTCCAACTGCCTTGCGGGGAGGGGGGTGAGTTTGAGGTGTGGAATGCAGTGAAGTCCAATCAGCTTCCATATGCAAAAGACCTTGAAGGTTCCATATGCAACTGACATTCCAACTGCCTTGCGGGGAGGGGGGTGAGTTTGAGGTGTGGAATGCAGTGAAGTCCAATCAGCTTCCATATGCAAAAGACCTTGAAGGTTCCATATGCAACTGACATTCCAACTGCCTTGCGGGGAGGGGGGTGAGTTTGAGGTGTGGAATGCAGTGAAGTCCAATCAGCTTCCATATGCAAAAGACCTTGAAGGTTCCATATGCAACTGACATTCCAACTGCCTTGCGGGGAGGGGGGTGAGTTTGAGGTGTGGAATGCAGTGAAGTCCAATCAGCTTCCATATGCAAAAGACCTTGAAGGTTCCATATGCAACTGACATTCCAACTGCCTTGCGGGGAGGGGGGTGAGTTTGAGGTGTGGAATGCAGTGAAGTCCAATCAGCTTCCATATGCAAAAGACCTTGAAGGTTCCATATGCAACTGACATTCCAACTGCCTTGCGGGGAGGGGGGTGAGTTTGAGGTGTGGAATGCAGTGAAGTCCAATCAGCTTCCATATGCAAAAGACCTTGAAGGTTCCATATGCAACTGACATTCCAACTGCCTTGCGGGGAGGGGGGTGAGTTTGAGGTGTGGAATGCAGTGAAGTCCAATCAGCTTCCATATGCAAAAGACCTTGAAGGTTCCATATGCAACTGACATTCCAACTGCCTTGCGGGGAGGGGGGTGAGTTTGAGGTGTGGAATGCAGTGAAGTCCAATCAGCTTCCATATGCAAAAGACCTTGAAGGTTCCATATGCAACTGACATTCCAACTGCCTTGCGGGGAGGGGGGTGAGTTTGAGGTGTGGAATGCAGTGAAGTCCAATCAGCTTCCATATGCAAAAGACCTTGAAGGTTCCATATGCAACTGACATTCCAACTGCCTTGCGGGGAGGGGGGTGAGTTTGAGGTGTGGAATGCAGTGAAGTCCAATCAGCTTCCATATGCAAAAGACCTTGAAGGTTCCATATGCAACTGACATTCCAACTGCCTTGCGGGGAGGGGGGTGAGTTTGAGGTGTGGAATGCAGTGAAGTCCAATCAGCTTCCATATGCAAAAGACCTTGAAGGTTCCATATGCAACTGACATTCCAACTGCCTTGCGGGGAGGGGGGTGAGTTTGAGGTGTGGAATGCAGTGAAGTCCAATCAGCTTCCATATGCAAAAGACCTTGAAGGTTCCATATGCAACTGACATTCCAACTGCCTTGCGGGGAGGGGGGTGAGTTTGAGGTGTGGAATGCAGTGAAGTCCAATCAGCTTCCATATGCAAAAGACCTTGAAGGTTCCATATGCAACTGACATTCCAACTGCCTTGCGGGGAGGGGGGTGAGTTTGAGGTGTGGAATGCAGTGAAGTCCAATCAGCTTCCATATGCAAAAGACCTTGAAACGCTGGGCGGGACTGCACAAAGCAGCCAGTCAACCCAGCCAGCATCTTCTGACTGACAGTTCAAGCGTCCATACACTAAAGGTGTGCACTTTGGAACGTTGGAGCCCACTATGCCTTTATATATAAGGGAGAGATTATATCTATGGTTTTAAGAATTCTTGTTGTTTTTATATTATACTGTTTTTATGTAAGCCGCCCTGAGCCGGCCTCGGCTGGAAGGATGGGGTAAAATTCTAACTAACTAACTAACTAATAAATAAATAAATAAATAAATAATAAAGTCTCAGAGAACCTGTGGTATTTTTGAGAGGGAAACTGTAGTCCTGGGAAAATATCCCCAGTGATTTATTCTTTCTATGATTTTCCATGGATTCTAAATATCCAGAGATTGTTTTAAATGGTACATGGAATGTAATGGCATCATTGTCCCCCTGCTCAGAGACCTACAGACACAGCAAAGGGGAAGGAAGAGCCCAGAGCCCAGTAAGAGAGTAAAGACAATGGAATGGGTGAGGGGAGTAAACAGCACAGAGGAGGCAGTGCACAAAAGGCTTCACCAAAGAGATCCTTGAGTTACCTGTAATATTTCTGCCAGGTCATCATATCCATTGTCTACAGCAATATCTAATGCTGTTTTGCAAAATTTACTTTGCGTGTGGACGTCTGCTCCATATTTTATTAAGAGTTCGACTACTTCTTGATGATTGTGTTCCGTAGCCCAATGAAGTGCTGTCATCTTCAGCATGTCCTTTGCATTAACATCAGCACCATGCTACCATTAAAAGAAAACCAAGAATTAGATCAAAACTGTGTCAGGGTTTAAGAACTGAATGGTGCAGCCAACAAAGCCGTGATTTCCCTTTCTGCTGCCTTGCATTTTCCATTTCACTAACCATGGCAGCAGTCACAAACAGGTTATAAATGTCCAAAATTATATGATTTTAAATACAAAAATTATGACTTATTTTAGCTGCCAGAAGAGAGATCATCCGGAAAAAATACTGCATCCAGTTAACTAAAACACCATATAAAACAGTGCACTGTTGCCCAATCCAAAGAACATAAAGAAGGTTAAACACTCTTGTGTCACCATTCTCCCCCTGCCCAGCTGCATCCCCCAAGTTGCTTCAGACGGTTCCCTTGACCAAGTAGCCTTATGGGTGGAGAAGCCTCAGCACGCATGTGGACCCTTTGGATCACAGCCAACTTTTTGAAAGACATTTGTAGATGCTGCTGGTCAAGATACAATTATTCTCATACCTATTGGCAATTAAGTAGTATTTCAGCTTCAACTGTAACCTACTGTTAGTGCAAAATGGAGGATTTTGATTTACCTTAAGTAAAACTTCCACTATGCTCGCATGGCCTTCAGAAGCAGCCATATGCAATGGAGTTCTGTCCACTTTGGTCCTGGCATCCCGACTTACACCTGCTCGAAGTAACACTTCAGTGGTTGAGTAGTGCCCGTACTGTGCTGCTAGATGAAGTGGAGATGTTCCCAACTGAAACACGATAGACAGTTAACAAGAATTCGTGGCACCTGCTCGCTTTCATTCCATCTCTTTCAAGACCTGACTACACGGAACACGCGTTTTCATTTTACAGCATTTGATAATGTAATCCTTCCTTCTTAGTGCCACAAAATAATAAACAGGAAAGTGTCAATTATCTGGTGAAAATTCTGGGGCACAAGGCTGTTTTCATCCAGCTACTCTCAACTTTGGCTTTGCAGTCACTAACCTTTCCTCTGTTCTTCACTGAAAGTTAGAGCGGTACCATCCCTCTTTTACCAAATAACGTCTCTACCACCCCAGAATTCATTAAGATCCTTAATTAATTAACTCATAATAAGGCAAACAGCAGGAACACTTTTTACACTTTTTTTTTTTTGCTTTTTATTTTGAATGAAGTACAATTGCCATTAAGGAAACCTTGGACGTGGAGTAAATAAACGGATCCTGGGATTAGATATGTAACGCAATCACCATGATGATCAAACTGTAATTTCTTAGTAACATCGATCACACCAAATTCCATCAGATAAAGTTATAAAATTATTTCATGAAAATAACAGTTATAACTAACAATGAAATCCTAAATGACAGCCAGTTTGGTGTAGTGGTTAAGTGCGCGGACTCTAATCTGGGAGAACCGGGTTTGATTCCCCACTCCTCCACTTGCACCTGGCTGGATGACCTTGGGCAAGCCATAACTTTGGCACAGCTGTTCTTGAAAAAGAGCAGTTTCTGTCAAGAGTTCTCTCAGCCCCACCTACCTCACAGGGTGTCTGTTGTGGGGAGGGGAAGGGAAAGGAGTTTGTAAGCCGCTCTGAGACACCTTTGGGTAGTGAAGGGCGGGGTATAAATCCAATCTCCTCCTCCTCCTCCTAAAGAAATGTTGTTGTTAGCCATTCAGTCATGGTAATTCTATGGGCCAGCTCTCTCCATGTTTTCCAATCTTGTACTGGTTCTTTGAGTTGGTCCATGCTCAGGCTGGTGTCAACTTTTATGGTGTCTCACCACCATGTTCTTTGGCAGCCAGGCTTCCTTTTGCCGCTAACCAATCCAAGCATAACTGCTTTTTCTGGTGAGTTCTTCCACATGACATGGCTGAAATAAGTCAGTCGCACTTTTGTGATTCTTCCTTCCAATGGCATGTCTGGTTTTATGCACTCCAATACTTGTTTGCTCATCACTTTTGCTGTCCAAGGAATGCTCAGGTCAAATGTATGCCCCTCTAAGACTAATGAGTTTGGCAGCATACTCATGATGAAGCAGCAAGAACATCTTATAGGATGTTTATGAAATCCTATGAGGTGGTGGTGAAGGCTGGTAAAAAAGATTTTTTTACAGCCTCTATTGCATCCGTTAGCTCACGCCCAGCACAATTGTTTAGGGTAACTGGATCTCTAACTTCTCTCACAGAGAGAGCTAAAAATGTTAGGAATTCAGCTGTGAGGCTTTTGCAAGCTTCTTTGTGGATAAAGTCTTGTCACTCCGCCCGGCCAACCTTGATACAGTATATGATCTGGAGGTCCCTTGGCCGTCTCTGGTTGCTGTGTTTGACAGCTTCAGCTGACTCTCCTGGGCTGATGTTGGTAGGATACTGAGCACTGTTAGGCCGACCACATGCCTCTTGGACCTGTGTCCCTCGTGGCTGGTGAAGGCCAGCGGTGAGAGAACACAGGACCCTCCGGTAGACATTATCAGTCTGTCCCTGGATTCGGAGGTCTATCCAGAGGGATTAAAAGAGGCTGTGATTTTAACACTCTTAAAGAAGCCAACTTTGGATCCTTTGGATCCATCCAATTACCAACCAGTCTCAAATCGTTCGTTTCTTGGGAGGGTAATTGCATGTGGCAGCAGAGTAGCTCCAGAATTTTCTGGATGACACATTGGCACTGGATCCATTTCAGTCTGGTTTCTGCCCCAGCCATGGGATACAGACGAAACTGGTTGCCCTCACAGATGATCTCCGCAGACAGTTGGACTGAGGTGGGTTGGCGCTGCTGTTGCCTCTTGATCTTATAGCAGTATTCAACATGGTCAATCACGATCTTTTGACCCACCGCCTTGCCAATGTAGGAATTTGTGGGGTAGTCTTGAAGTTACCTCATTTCTCTAAGGTCAGAGACAGAGGGTAGCGCAAGGGAAGAGGGTGTCTCCTAGATACCCCTTGGCATGCGGGGTCCCTCGGGGAACAATCCTCTCTCCAATGTCGTTTAACATCTATATGAGCCCCCTTGCCCAACTGGTATTCATGTGGAGTTTCAGGCTGGGGTGTCATCAGTATTGTCACGGCTCAGGTGGGGTGTCACCTGACACTGCCACCACTCTGGATTTAGGTGCCCTTGAGAAGGTCCAGAGCACCCTCCCAAGACCTTCAGCCCTCCCTTTTGGCCGAATAACAGGCATGAGGACCAGGCAGAGTGAACAATGAAAATAGTTTATTTTATAAGAGGTCAAACAACAAGGTGCAGAATAACAGTATGTGGGTGAAAAGAAATCAAATGCCCTATCGCGTCTAAATATATACTGTCCCTAGCTCACTATTCCAAGTGGCACTAGGCTACTCACCCTTCCCTCAGGATGAGGGTCTCTTCCCTGCAGCAGCCTTCCTTCTGGCTCTGCCCTCTCGGAAGAAGAACAGCTTTTCCTGCTACCTCAGATCTTTTATTCCAAGCCCTCCTCTTTTCCTGTTGGCTCCAAAACCTCTCAGGGACTTCTGGGAGTTGTAGGCTCACCTACTGCTAGCCAGGCTCCCTGGGCCTAGTAGGCCTCTGGTGACACAGCTCAGATCATGACAAGTATGCTGATGACACCCAACCAATACCTGTTGATGGATGGATGGCCGGATACCGCCCCAGCTGTTCTGAGGGGCTGGAGGCCATGGTGGGATGGTTAAAACAGAGCTGGCTGAGACTAAATCCACTTAAGATGGAGGTTCTGTGGCAGGGAGGACTCAGGTTTGAGGTGTCAACTCCCTGCTCCTGATGGGGTGCCCTTAACACCGGCACCAACTGTCAAGAGCTTGGGTGTGGTACTGGATGCCTCCTTATCAATGGAGATCCAGATCACAGATGTTGCCAGACTGGTGTTTTATCAGCTATGCCAGGTCAGGCAACTGGCCCCCTACCTGTCCTGCCTTGACCTAGCCACAGTAATCCGCACAACAGTAATCTCCAGATTGGACTACTGTAACTCACTCTACATGGGGCCTACCCTTGAAACTGATCCAGAAACTTCAGCTGGTCCAGAATGCAGCAGTGTGGGTACTTACAGGGACCCTGTGAGTGGCACATTTTCGACCTGCGCTGTGCAAGCTGCACTGGTTGCTGATTGAGCACCGGATCAGGTTCAAGGTTCTGGGGCTTACCTTTAAGGCCCTTAACAGTTCAGGACCCATGTATTTTCAGGAGTGTCTCTCCTCGTATACCCCCCCCCCAAGAGCATTACAATCAGATGATAAGAAATTGCTTGTGGTCCCCGGAACGAAAGATATCTGGCTGTCCTCAACCTGGTGGAACTCTCTGCTGAGTAACATTTGAGCCCTAGGGACCTGATGTAGTTCCACAGAGATGTTCTGCCAGGCGTTTGGTTGAGGACAGCAATGGCACCCATCTGGCTGGCACTTTCGCCCCCCCCCCCACCTGCAAGGCGGTAGCACAACTGGAAATTTGATCACCATCTGCCTAAAATTTCTGAACTGATTAGGGATTTTATTGTAACTTTTAATGTTTTATATTGTATGATGTTTGTTTTATTAAAGTCGTTGTACACTGCCCTGAGCCCTGTTTCAGGAAATGGGTGGTATAAAAATTGAATTAAACAAACAAACAAACAAATAAAGACACTAACAACTTCCAAAGCATATGTGGCAGTCTTTTTTTTTTAAGTACAATGAGGAGAGCAAGTGACTGCCATCAAAGTCCTGGCAGTGGAGTAAGCTTTTGAGTAACTGACTAAGTCTATACCTATAACGTCAGAGATGAAACTATACAAAAGAATGGCTGTATTCTGCACATCCATGATGACAACATAATAAGAATAAAATTTGATTTCAAGATGCAGAAGTTCAGCTTCTCAAGAATCTGAATAATCTTTGTAATTTTTTTTTTAAAAAAAAATATGGCTTGCATTGAGCAACTTAAAAATATGTGAACAATGACAAAAATCTGAGAATTACTCTCCGGAGGAGACCAGAATGACATGTACAGCATTTGGACTTACATGCAAGATTAGTTCAGAAGAATTCCCCTTAAAGAACACACTGAAAACAAAAGCACAAGCAGAAAACAAAACCATGTAATTTAAACAATAAAAGAGGAAGTTCCCATTACCCAGTCTGTGGTAAAAGGTGCTCCATTTGCCATCAAAATCCGAACTTCGTCATCTTGTCCAGCTCGTGCAGCTTCTAAAAGCTTCTTTCCCAAATCTACTAGGGACATCTAATAAAATAATTTAATCAAAGATTAGGATAATTCAACAGGCCCCAGCTGTGAAATGACCAAATATTCTTAAAATGTAATGTTTGCTAGCTTTTATACAAAATTCTTCAAGTATGACGCAACTTGGAATTTAAGAAGGCATACTTCGCCGCCAGTTTCTTGTATGGAATTCTGGATAATGTACAACAGCCAGGACAAGCTACCAGTCTGAAAAAAGAAGCTGCTGAATGGTGAACAGTTCCACCTTCCACTTAAGTTTCTTATTCCACACAACTCTGCTATTCTCCCTTTAAAGCGTACGACCAACTAAGACCTACAGTGATGTCTTGTGAGATGTGCAGTTCCTCTTGCAACTGAACTTCGTTTATTAATACTTTAGTAGATGGAGAGGAACATTTAAAATGCCAAAGCAGAATAACCTTTGAGATGCTTTTGATGTATTATTCTGTTTAAAGATTATCCTCTTTGTTAAACGGGTTGCTCACCTTGGCTGAGCTCAACCATCACAATAAATGGTGGTTTGTTTTAACAAAACATTGCCCACAGTAAGTCTCAGTGAATAAAATGGGAGATACTTCTGAGTATACTTGCTTAGAATTGTTCCCTTTGTTGCAAAAATGCAGGTTACGATACCAAGCGCACATAATTAGCTTCTGTTTATTCTGGTGGTGGCTTCCTGCCCCGTCTCTCAGCAGAATCCCCATGTGCTACCCCATAGACCCAGCAGAATCCCCATGTGCTACCCCACACTGTAAAGGTTGCCAGGTCCCCCCTGGCCACTAGCCAGGTCCAGGTTGGGAAACTCCTGGAGATTTTGGATGGAGCTTGGGGAGGACAGGGACCTCTGTGGGTATAATGCCATGGACTCTACTCTCCAAAGCATCCATTTTATCCAAGGGAACTGACCTCTGTAGTCTGGAGATGACTTGTAATTCTGGGGGATCCCCAGGTCCCACCTGGAGGCTGGAATCCCTAGTGAACTGCCCAGCTGGTGATAAAACAGCACTATAGATAGGTGTCTATACTATTACGGTACTATACTATTACTATTGGCCAGCCGCATCAGAATAGAGAAGCTGAAGTCAATCCTTCTCAAAGATCTTATGGAATGGCCTGTCTGGAGAGATCAGGAAAGCTCCCACTCTCCTGGCTTTCTGCAAACTATGGAAAACAGAAATATTCAAGAGGGTCTTTCTGCACAGAGGGTTGCAAGTGTACAATATTGTTCGCAGTCTACTTGGATAAATGATTAAGGACTGTGGTCTATACGGCTGTGTTTAACTTATAATAAGCAGAATCCTATTAATTTCTATATTGCTTAATGTTAACACATAAGCTATGCTTCAAGATCTTTGTGGCGGTTCCAGTCTTCTAAAATCCTAATGCACTGGGTTATTGAATATTCCATTTTGTTGACTGTACTGACTCACTATGTGTACTCACTGTGAGAAATGTGGACTATAAATAACTTTAAAAAATAAAGATCTTCAGGGCAATTGCAGCAAAGCCAACTTGTATATTACTTTCAAACTTCAAAGCTGAGCCATAGTGATTCCAAACAACTCTTATTACAAAGCTCTGTTATATTATTAAAAGGCTCTTAAGGGTTGAGAATGTTGATTATTGCATGGTGTTAATATGTGTTATGAATGTACTGTTGTATATATTGTTCAAAATAATAAAAAACACTTATTTGGGGGGAAAAAGCTTATTTGGGGGGGAAAAGCTGAGCCATAGTGCAGGGGGTATGGGGCAGCATGTGGGGCTTTTTACACACGCAGGGAAATGCTGATCACCGTTTTGGGGTCCGGAAACAATTTTTCTCCAGGCCAGTTTTGGCCAGGGATCCTGGAGGGTTTTTTTATTTTTTGCCATCTTTTGGGCATATAGCACAGGAGTCACTGGGGGTGTACAGGAGGACATATTTGTGAATTTCCTGCATTGTGTGGGAAATTGGACTAGATGACCATGGAGGTCCCCTCCAACTCTATGATTCTACTATGGTGAAACTCAACTTGGACTTTCTAGAAACGTAACCAGGAAAAGAATGGAGTGATGGGTTGCCAGGAACACATTACAGAAGTGTTCCAGCATCTTCATCCCCCTTCTCTTGACTTCCAGGCACAAATCTGGTTTTACCCATATAGTCCTTGTAACGATTTCATGTTTTTGTGTGTGTATGTCTTTAAAAGTTTGGTTTATATTGCTGTGTGGGACAATCTAGAATGCTGAAACAGGCAAGTTGTGTGATTGGTGAGTGACAGAGAGGGGGAGGGGTTTTTGGAATGGATGCTGTGTGGATGATTTGAATGTCTATCTGGAGTGACTGTTAGAGTTTAGACAGTTTATGATGACAGTTGAGAAAGACAGTTAATGAGATGACTGTGGAGTTAAACAGTTAGTCAGAGCAGTGTGTGCTGTGTAAAAAGAGTTAATATGAGTTTTATCTTGAGTTCTCTGTGTGAGAGGTTCCTGTGTGGAATATAAAAGTAAAAGTCTCTGTGACATGCCCTGATCCCTGTTAATAAGAGGGAAGAGTGTGTGAACATCAAATAAATCTACTTTTATTTAAGTTACAAGTTCTGAACGAAATTCTTCCCAGGAAACACATAGTTCCTCGAAAGGCCTAGACCCCGTGCCACAATACCAAACCAGAAGAAGAAATATATTAGTATAAAGATGTGGAAAGCCTTAAATTTTCCTGGTGGCGGCGAGATTACCCTGAGAGCAAAAACATAAGAACATTTTAAAGTAAAATCAGACCTCCCCAAATAAGAGGTCGTCACAGTCCTATAGGTAAAATCCTTGGACCCTTGACAGTGGAGAAGTTTCTGATTCTGCCAGATCCCATCACAATCACTAGTGCCAAGAATGTCATTGAGACCATGTACTAAACTCAACAAACAGGATAAGAGTGAGGCATTATTGAAGCTCCCTCACATGCAGCACCTTTCAAAACATCACAAGAGAGCCAGTTTGGTGTAGTGGTTAAGTGTGCGGACTCTAATCTGGGAGAACCGGGTTTGATTCCCCACTCCTCCACTTGCACCTGCTGATGTGGCCTTGGGTCAGTCACAAGCTCTGGCACAACTGTTCCTGAAAGAGCCATTTGTGTCAGAGCTCTCTCAGCCCCACCCACCTCACAGGGTGTCTGTTGTGGGGAGGGGAAGGGAAAGGAGTTTGTAAGCCACTCTGAGACTCCAAGTGAAGGGCGGGGTATAAATCCAATCTATTATTATTATTATTATTATTATTATTTGAGCTGGACACTGGTGACTGGAGTAACAGATGTGAGCATTCAGTATACAGTTATGTGTCTACTTTTGTTGAATACATATGTTTGTTCAAAACTTTTAACCTTCCCTAAACTCTATTTACTTTATTTATGCCCAACTTTTCTCCTCAGTGGGGACCCAAAGTGACTTAATGTCATTCTCGGCTCCTACATTTTATCCTCACAACAGCCCTGTGAGGTAGGTTCGACTGAGGGGGTGTGACTGGCCCAAGATCACCCAGCAAGCTTTCATGCAACAGTGGGTATTAGGATCTAGGTCTAACCACTATACCACACTGGGGTCTCTAGAGTGGGAATGGATCAGAAATTCAAATAAAAACATTTCACTTAGGAACTCACCCTTTGGGCCTGGTTCCTGTCCCGATAGCAGTTAACAGTTAAACTCTGTGCTCATGAACAATTAGGAATTAAACTTCTGATTGACTTTATTGGAGACAGACTTTCTTTCAGGCAATCAAAAGTAACATCTATGGAGCCATCTAGTGGCAAAAACTTTGTCACAATATTCCATAGTGACATAATATTAACAGTACAACAAAAGATTTTGTAATACTAAACTTAATAACAGATCAATTGAATAGTATGCATAAATTCAGCCCCGTCAGCTATTTTAATGTATTCGCATGCCCATATACACAGACACAATTAGGACAAAATAATTTAGCCAGTCTTTGAAGCTATGCACAGCTGGACCTGAATGGGGGCTCCGATGTCAGTCCCGCAACCATCACACAGGGGCCACAACCCCTTGGTGGGGATGAAGACACGGGACTTTCTTATGGCTGCGGAGGGAAGGCTGATCGTTGATGTGGCTGCAGGCCAGGCAGAAGAAGCAAGTGCTGAGCTGGCAACGCCATAGTTTCAAGTCCTAACAGGCCAGAAACCAAGGCCATGCTTCTGAAGCCCAAAAGCAGCCTGAGTGGATCAGTCCAGAGCAGGGATTGGAGACAACACTTGGGATTGGCTGGTTCCCCATGAACCAGTGGAAGGAGGAGGGACTTGCAGGGACTGTGAGGAGCTATTTATGCTCCTCCAGCCAAGAACCAAGGAGGACAGGGTTGGGGGTAGTCATCTCTCCACAGAGCTAGCTCAGAGAGAAGGACAGGAGAGTGAAGGGAGAGGCCCCGATGGGAAGAGATGGACCCAGATGAAGATTCAACCCCGCCTCTGCAAAGGTGGAGGATGTATCTAGTACATTTGCCTTCACCTCTGAGCAGGCAGAAGTGGCCCTTTCTTACACGCCCAGGGAAATGCTAATCACCACACTGGGGTCAGGAAGCAATTTTTCTCCAGACCAGTTTGGTCAGGGATCCTGGAGGGTTTTTTGTCATCTTCTGGGCATGAACAGGGGTCACTGGGGGTGTGGTGGGGAGGTACTTGTGAATTTCCTGCATTGTGCAGGTGGTTGGACTAGATGACCCTGAAGGTCCCTTCCAACTTTACGATTCTATGAAACACCCTCACTCAAATGACTGCTAGCCACAGATCATCAGATGGCCTTCACTTCGCACCGCTAGTGCTGGCTCACCTCCTCATGGAAGCAATAATCTACAAATCAAACTATCCTAAATTCATTCAAGTTAGCTTGATCCAATAAAAAAATGTCATGGGTCAGTCAGGGCTCAGTGAGGACTCCTCAGGAAAAGAGGAGCCATGTGTAGCCAGCTCTGAGTCAGCAGAAGCCAGCAAGCAGGAAGACAAACTG